AGTGAGAGAGAGAGCACATGAGAGGGGGGAGGGTCAGAGGGAGAAGCAGCCTCCCTGCTGAGCAGGGAGCCCGATGCGGCACTCGATCCCGGGACTCCAGGATCATGACCTGAGCCGAAGGCAGTTGCTTAACCAACTGAGCCACCCAGGTGTCCCATTTTTCTTAAAATATTTCTCCTGGGCTCCTTTTGTGTCCCTACCCGACCTCCCATCTCAGCACTAGGACCTCAGAACCGCAAACCCAGTCTCTAGCCCCTTCCCCATCCCAGCCCCTCCCCACCCATGTTGCCAAGCTAAGACCCTCCCAACTCACTGTCGTTATAACCTTGCTTCTCTGCCTGGCTGCAGCCTTTCCATGGTCCGGTCTCAACCTCTTTTCCCTGCACACTTGGCCTGACACTCCTCCCTGCCAATGTGCTTCTTCTGGATTTTACACACACTGTGCCCTCCCCTGGAATGTCCTTCCATGGGACAGGCCAGGAGGCAAGACAGGAGGGTGGCTTGGTCTAGAGGGCCTGACAGCCGAGATGGAGCCGTGTGGCTTGAAGAGATAGGGCTTGCTTATGGGTTGGATGTGCAGGGGGAAGGCAAGGGAAGGGATCAAAGTGACTTCCAGATATTTAACTTGGGCGTCCTTGGGAATAATGATGCCATTTAATGGGGATGGGGTTTCCCAGGGAAGAAATAGGTTGTGAATTAAGAATGGAATTTCAGATCTCCTACTAAACCAAGTGAAGTAATAATAAATGAGTGAGTTCCGCAGACAGATGGCTGGGTCAGGACGCCTACAGTCAGGAACCGTAGCCGTACAGATGGTGTCTAGAGCTCCAGGGTTGGATGAGGCGCCAGGGGGGAAGAGGGGCCCCAAGAGTGAGGTCCTGGGGCTCTGAGACATCCAGAAGTGGCGCAGAAGAGGAGAACCCAGTGGAGACTGAGAAGCAGATGGACAGAAGGGAAGAAAGTTGGGGAGGAGAGGGGACTGTGATCTGAGAGAAGATGCGGTCTCACCAACGAGGGTGTGGCTGTCTGTGCTGAATGCGGCTGAGAGGTCACATGATTTGACCATGGGGGTTTGGTAACCTAAAAAGTCAGCTGGTGACCTTGGCCAGGGCGGTTTCAGTGGTGCGGTTAGGATAGAAGCCAGTGTGGACGGGGTGAAGAGAAAATGGGAAAGAAAAATTGGAGTCAGGGACAGCCCTTTCCAGAAGTTTCTCTGGGATGAGCAGAGCAGTGGGCCAGTGGCTGGAGGGAGATGTGGAGGGAGGAAAAATTCAGTCCTTCTGGGGATAAGTAGTACTATAGGGATCTTAGCTAACGTTTACTGAATGTCCCGTTCATCTAGACCTCCCAACGCTCCTAAAAGGAGGATACTCTGATCAGCTCCATTTTACAGGTGGGCGTTACTTGCCCTACCCGAGGCCATGACGATACTCAGTGGCGGGACCAGGATTCGAAGCTCCCTAGCGTGCTTGTGTACTGGACGTGCCCGGCACGGGGGCGGGGGAGGGGGTGGCCCACAGGCCAGTGTCCAGGACGGGGGCAAGGGGTGGGTTCCAGAACAAAGGGAGGGACACATCATCCCATCATCACAAGAGGGTCAGTTGAGAACTGTGAGCACAGGTCAGTTTTTGGCTCTGGTCGGGGGAGGCGGGGGAGCCCTTGCCTGATGACTTCTAGATCCCCTGGAGAATGAGGAAGATGGGCAGGAGGTAAGAGGGGAGAGGGTACAAAATCCTTGCCTCGGTGAGTACCAGAGCAAGCTCAGTGGGCAAGAGCAGGAGGGTTGCCAGGCAGTGAAGAATGTCCACCTGAGGCTTGTGGTTGTGATGCGGAGGGACCCCGTGGTCCCAGGCACCCTATGCCCTTTGGCCACAACCAGCCTTTCCTCCAGCTGGTTCCATAGTGGGGAATGTCCTCCCTCCTCTCCCCTTGCTCTTCATGCCCTGGGCCAGCCCTCCTCCCCTCCGGATGGACCACTCTGGAGTAGTTACCCAGACATTCATCCCTCCGCTGCCGAGAACCCGCTGTTTTAAGGACCAGCCTCGGCGCCTGCAGGGAATGATACCCAGACCTAGTCTCAAAAGATGACCGTCTGGGAGAGGAGACAAGCATATAAATTTGGGAATTACAGTATGCTGTGACAAGGGCGATAAGGAAGGCCTCCAGAGGCACAGGGTGGCGTAGAGGAAGACAAACAACTTTACAGTGGAGTCAGGGACTCCTTCCCCAAGAAGGCGTGGTGGGCCTTGAAGCACAAATCTAAGATGGACATGGAGTCAAGGGTGTTCCAGGTAGAAGGAACCACTTGTGCCAAAGCCCCTAGTTGGGCAAGAGTATGATGAGCTGCTCAGCGTGCTTGGAGGGAAGTGCTCGCCCGACAGCACGGGGGGCGTGAGCTTGGAGGAGAATAGGGAGCCAGGCCCCAAAGGGAGTCTGGAAGTCATCCTGAGGTCAAAGCAAGCAAAGGCAGGCTCCCATCCGCGTTTTAGAAGGACACGTGTAGGGAATAAACTGGAGCAGGAAGAAGGTGCACGGGGGAGGGGGGGTCGGCTGAGGAGGGAGGCCGAGAAGAATCCCAGCCCGAGTGGCAGGGGCCGGGTGGGGAGGGAGACAGGGCGCGGGGATTGAGGGGGCAGAACAGGCAGGAGCTGGAAATCAGGGAATCAAATGGGTGAGGATGAGGAAGGGCTGGGGAAGGCCGCTGCCACTGAGCGAGGCCCAGGAGAGCAGTGGGTGGATCCAGACAAAGCCAGAGCTGTGGGCCCTGTTGGCCGCCTCCCTCTGGCCTCCCAGCGCTGTTCTCAGGGCGCCCACCCAGAGCAGGCCCAGCGCTGCGTGCCCCGCCACGGTGGCGAATAAGACCATGCTGGGACCCCACCCTTGCACCTCAGTAAATCAACTGGAGGATTTCCCGGGTGAAGGAAACAGGGTGGCATGGGGAAGATACGACAGGCAGGGCTGGGACTGGCTGTTTGGAACTGGGGGCCCAGGGAAGGCTGTCAGCTGAGTCGGGACCTGAAGGGAGGAAGAAGGTGCTTGGTGTGTGCAGGGGTGGGGTGGGGCGGGGAGGGGGGCAGGAAGGCAGTGGGAGTCCTTTGATAGACCGGGTGGCCTGGGGAGGCCCCGGGAAGCCACCTGAGGTCCTGCTCTGTCGTTTTATTATTCATCTTCTTGGCCATGACCTTAGCTCTAGATTTTTTTTTATTTTTTGGTACGGTTTTATTGAGTATACTTCCCATACAATTCACCCATGTGAAGTGTAGAATTCGGTGGTTTTTAGTCCTAGTCTGTTCACACAGTTGCAGTCATCAGCATGGGAAGACACCCTGTAACCTTTAGCCGGCACCCCTATTTCTCCCACACCCCCCCCGGCTCTAAGCACCCACCGACCTACTTTCTGTTTCTATGGATTTATCTGGAAATTTCATAGAAATCACATAATATGTGGTCCTTTGGGACTGGCTTCTTTCATTTAGCATAATGCTTTCGGTTCGTCCACAGGGTAGCATTTTTCTTTTTAACGGCTGAATAATATCCCACTCTATGGCTGTACCACCGTTTTCCTTATCCACTCACCGTCCGATGGACATTTGGGTACCATTTTGTTTTTTTTAATATTCGTAATCCAAGTACTGTATGATTCAAGTGCGGTACGTAGACATTCTCAAAAGAGGCAAACAGCAGAGACACAAAATACCAAAGCTCCTGGCGCTTCTCCTTCCATCTGGCTCTTCTCCCCAGAAGTGGCGGGTGACACCTTGCTCCTTACCGCCCTGGTCACAGACACGTGTAAACGCCGCATGTTGTCACGCACACTTCCTGTTACACCACGGGCTCCTCCCTGGCCCCGCACCCATCTCTGCGTCTTCTGGGTAAAGGGGACCCCTGAGCCTTATGTACTGAACCGGTCCCCCGGGAGCGTGAGAAAGTCCTGAGCTCTGAACACCGCCCTTCAGGTGTGGACGGCACGGTGAGCGGCTGGGAAGAGGCGAAAATCAACAGCTCCAACCCACTGCGCTATGACCGCCAGAGCGGGGAGTTTCTCGTCATGCGGGCCGGGCTCTATTACCTGTACTGTCAGGTAAGGCCCACCTGGCTCCACGGTACAGCGGGGACTGCGGGTCTGGGGGGGGGGCCGAGGGCGAGCCAGAGCGGGGAGGGGAGCTTAGGGCTGGGGCCCGATGGGCCCCCTGGGTGGCCAAGGCTGCTGGAAATTGAGGCGCGGCCAGCAGAGGCCTGGACTCTGCCGCCTCCCGCCCGCCCGGCAGGTGCACTTTGACGAGGGGAAGGCTGTCTACCTGAAGCTGGACTTGCTGGTGAATGACGCGCTGGCCCTGCGCTGCCTGGAGGAGTTCTCGGCCACGGCCGCCAGTGCCGTGGGTCCCCAGCTCCGCCTCTGCCAGGTGTCTGGGCTGTTGCCCCTCCGGCCGGGGTCCTCCCTGCGGATCCGCACCCTCCCCTGGGCCCATCTCAAGGCCGCCCCCTTCCTCACCTACTTTGGACTCTTCCAGGTTCACTGAGGGGCCCTGGTGGCGCCCCCACCACAGCTGTGTCGGTGCGCCCCTCCCTCCGTGCGCCCCCCCCCGTCCTCCCCCGTCCCCCCCACCTGCCCGCCCTCTGCAGGCTGCTTGGACTTGTTCACGTTTGTTTCCACGACACGTAGATAACCCCCTTCTCCTCTGACGCCCCCCTCCACCTCACTAGCTCCTGAACCCCTAGTCTTTCGTTGCCCCCATTAATCTCCTGACTCCCTGCCCTGGCCACAACCCCCCAGGACACTGTGTCTACTCTACTCTGGGTGAGGATGGGTCCCCCCCCCCCCAGGCACTAATAGGGGCTGGACACCAGGGAGCCTGGGACTAGGCCGGGAGTTCCCAAACGCGAGGGCTAAGAGCAAGCCAAGCTCCTTCCCTGATAATTCCCTGTGGATTTTTAAAAAGCAGATATTATTTTTATTATTATTGTGACAAAATGTTGATAAGTGGATATTAAAGAGAATAAACCACGGTCTCTCTCTTCCTTGGGGCTTAGGGAACATTTCTTAGGGTAGTGGAGGGCTACGGGAAGGGGGTCTGGGCATCCAGGAGTGGGGTGCGGGAGGGCTGGGATGCCAGGGCAATGTACAGACTCGGGAGTGGGGACCTGCCTGCCTCTGACCCCTGAGGCATGAGCAGAGAGTGGAAAGGCAAACTGCCAGGAAAAAAAAAAAATCAATCCTCTGCCCAAGGTCCAGCAAAAGCTGCCTCATTTACCTAGGAGGCGGGCTTCCTCCTGCGGGTAATCCCTGGCTGGGAGGAGCAGGGGCCCTTCCTCTTGGCAGCCTCGGGGACGTTCAGCAGGGGCTGCCACCAGCCCTGGCTGGGATGTGGGGTGGGAGCAGGCCCGAAGGGGAGCTCAGGGTCAGGAAGCGGGACGCCGGGGCCCAGGAACATGGGAACCCGGGGCCCCGGGTCCAGGGGAGGAATCCTACAGTGGTAGGGTGCTTGGGGCTGTCTCTTTCTCTCTCTGCCCAGGGCCTTATGTAAGAGCTTTTCTCGGGAAACAGGAAGTTCTCCTTGCCAAGTTCAGCACAGGGAGTAGTGCAGGCCTATTCCAACACACCCGGCCTGGCCTTAACCCCAGAACTCAGCCAGTTTCTTGCTTCCGCGACCCTGGTTCTCCTTCCCATCTACCCACCCCCCCCCATCCCGCCGCCCCTCCTTTTCCACCTTCAGTCATACCCAAAGATCTCTCGTGTGGCTGAGCCAGAGGGTCTTTACCCCCTCACCCTTGGACCCCCAAGGCTGCCCAGCTTGCCCCTTCATCCCTGCTCTTGGCACCATGCCCCGGAGCCAGCCACCCTTCCCTCCCCCACTTCTGGGGCCGTCCCAGGGTTCCTGTGCTCGGCCGCTCCTCCTGGGTGTCACTGGCAGTCCCGTCCTTCCTCGAGAGACTGGGACCAAGTCCTCCTGAGGCTGGAGGAGGGTGTGTGTGTGTGTCCGGAGGGGGCGTCTGGAGACAACACCGGCCCCACGGCGGGGTGCCAGGAGCGCCAACAGTGCCCCTTGCTGGCTCTCCTCCTCCCTTTTTAATTCTCAAGTTCCTTTTTATTCCTCCCTTGCGTAACGCTCTTCTTCCCTTCTGTACCCCCACCCTCCCCACCACCTCCCCGCCACCCCACTCCTGAGGCTGCAGCCTTCGGCAGGGTCCCCAGCTCATGCCAGCCTCATTTCCTTCCTTGCTAGCCCCCAAAGGGCCCCCGGGAGACATGGGTGGCCCGGCCCGAGAGCCGGCTCTCTCAGTCGCCCTCTGGTTGAGTTGGGGGGCAGCTCTGGGGGCTGTGGCTTGTGCCATGGCTCTGCTGACCCAACAAACAGAGCTGCAAAATCTAAGGAGAGAGGTGGCTCGGCTGCAGAGGGCCGGAGGGCCCTCCGAGAAGGAGGAAGGGCATCCATGGCTGAGCCTCCGGGAGCAGGTGAGTGAGGGGAGAAGGGGGTGGGGGAGAAGAGGCTGGGTGCCAGGGCCATCTTGGGGCCTCCTGGGTCTAGCCTCGTGGTCTGTAAAGTTTTGAGTAGGTTCAGGAGAGGGTCCCAGGTTTGGAGGTCAAGGGGGCAACCATTCCAGGAAAGGAAATTGTTAAAGATTAATGCTTCTCATGCCTACCAGATCCTGGAGGACAGCCAGCACCAAGACTCAGGTCGCTGGGGAAAAGTGCATGAGTGATGGGAGGCGCTCCTGGGGCTGGGGAGTGGGGAGGCAGGGGGTGCTGGGAGGAAAAGCTGTCGGGGGACCCTTGCTCCTTAGCCTAACCCTGACCCTCTTTCCATGAGCAGAGCCCTGATGCCCTGGAAGCCTGGGAGAATGGGGAGAGGGCCCGGAGAAAGAGAGACGCACTCACGCATAAGCAGAAGAGTGAGGCCTCCGGGGTGCGGTGCGGCAGGGGTGGGAGGTGATCAAGCAGCAGGGGGATCTGGAGATTGTTCCCCGGAGCCGGGGGGGGGGGGACAGATGGGCTTTGCTTAGATCTCCTTCTTTCCTCAGAGAAGCACTCCGTTCTGCACCTTGTCCCCATCAACATCACCTCCAAGGGTGAGCACTACTTTAAATAATGGCTCTGGGGGAAGGGCAAGATCAGGGAACTTTGGGGCTGACACCTGGGTCCAAGAGAATCCTAGAGGTGAAAAGTCTCTGAGAATGCCCAGAAGTCCCGATTGTCCTACTCCTCACCTCCAGAGGACTCCGATGTGACGGAGGTGATGTGGCAACCGGCCCTTAAGCGTGGGAGAGGTCTGGAGGCCCAAGGATACGTTGTTCGAGTCTGGGACGCCGGAGTCTATCTGCTGTATAGCCAGGTAATCCCACACATACCCTAAGCCTTGACTGGGGGCCATGAGGTCTGTTCTCCCGGGGCCTGGATGCCCTGGTACTGAGGGTTCCCAACGCCTCTGTTCGTACCAAACTTCGAAGACCCTCCTTCCTTCCTTGGCTCCGTCATCCAGGCTCCAGAGGCCTCCCAGCCCTGAGCCATGCTTTCTCACTTTCTCACTGCTTCAGCTTCTCCTCCATCCCCCGTCAGGTCCTGTTCCATGATGTGACTTTCACCATGGGTCAGGTGGTGTCTCGGGAGGGCCAGGGAAGGCAGGAGACTCTCTTCCGATGTGTCCGAAGCATGCCCTCCAACCCGGACTGGGCCTACAACAGCTGCTACAGCGCAGGTGAGAGGCCCGTGGGCAGCGGAGGGCAGGTGTGAGAGGAGCAGGGTGTCTGTGACCGCCCCCCAGGGGCCGGAAGCCCGGGTGGACAGGTGGATCTGGGGGATGCAGGCCAGGAAGCAGGAGGAAGGCTGAGCCGGAGAAGGGAGGAGAGGCACCAGAGAGTCTCCAGGACTGTGCTTCACGGAGTGTGTATTTTCTCCGTTCCTCAGGTGTCTTCCACCTACACCAAGGGGATCTTCTGAGTGTCACCATCCCCCGGGGGAGGGCAAAACTCAGCCTCTCTCCGCATGGAACCTTCCTGGGGTTTGTGAAACTGTGATTGGGATATGGATGATGGTGTTGAGCTCGGAAGATGAGGGTGGGTACAAATCGGAGACAGCCAAGAGCGAATAGGAAGGAGCAGACGCCTCTTCTGGGTTTGACGGGAACCCTGGGTTTGACGGGAACCCTGGGTTTGACAGCTCATCAATCTCCGCTCCTCCCTTTTCCCGACCCACCCCCACCCCGGAGACTTTGATTTCATGGATATTAAAGAGGTGTAATACCTTGCTTTTGTCCCCCATCCAGCCCCACATTCTCGTGGCGGGGGGGCAAGGGAGGGGTGGGCAATGCCAGGCCTTATCTGGACCCACTTCGGGTCCCACTGGAATGCTTCCAGAACAGCACCACCACCTAGCGGCAGTTTGAGAGAACCAGCCTGCGTGTCGGCACAAGTCCACGAAGCCTCCCTCCACTCGGGAAGACTCGTGGTTTCCTGTGCCACACCTCTCCCAGGTACCCGCTGCCTCCTCGCTCCACAAGAAGCCTAACCCCCACTTCTCTCCCCGGCGACGGGGCCCAAGTTTCCAGCACTGTCTCCGGGGGTGTGTTTATTATGCGGCCGTCTGCAGGGGGGGGCCCGACGACGACGGTCCCTTTGCAGCCCCATTACTGCTCGGGTGCCAAGTTCTGCCCTTCCTGCTCTCCACTCCCCTGGCGTAGCGGGCCCCTCCAAGACCCTCTGGGCTGGGACGGGGGTCCGGGGAGCCTTGGGTAAATCGTGCGCCCTAAGGCTGGTCTGCCTTCATTCCTCTGGGCTCTTTCTTTCTGCTCAAGACCTGCTTAGACTTAAATAAAAGAATGAACGACTTCCATTCCCCTCGCTGCATTGCCTAGCCCCGGGATCTCCCTGCCCTCCCGGCTCTCCCCCGGCGCGCCCCACACGACCCAGGTTCCGCGGCCCCGGGGTTCGGGCCCACAAGCGCTCGGAAGGGGCTACGCGGCGGAACACGCAGCCTTGGCGGCGGGGGGGGGGGGGGGGGGGGGGGGGGGGGGGGGGGGGGGGGGGGGGGGGGGGGGGCGGGGGGGACACGCAGGCGCAAACCGGAGAGAGGCGGGCCCTCACGCGGCCCGGAGCAGCGGGAGTGCGCAGGCGCAGCCCCGCGCGGGGCTCGGGGGCGGGACGGTCCCTTGGCGTCTACGCTCTCGAGTAGGCGGGACTAGGCGCGTGCTGGCCGCGCCGGCGCTGTTCTCCGGGTGTGACGTACAAATCGCGCGCCGCCAGCGCCGGTGGGCCTGGGGCTCGCGGGAGGGGAAGGAGGAGAAGGAGGAGGAGGAGGGGGAGGTGGTGGAGGTGGAGGCTGAAGCAGAGCAAGAGGCGGCCGCGGCGGGGCGGCTCGGCGGCGCGGCGCGCGGCCCAGAAGCGTTGGAATCCTGAATTGAGAGGGCTGCGCCTGAAGACAGCAGGAGTGGCGGGGCCGCCGCCGTCGCCGGAGAGATGAGCCGGGAAGCTTGAGGCCGGAGACGCCCGCCCTCGGGCCCGTCCGCCCGGCTTCCCCGCTCCCGGTGAGGACGCCCCCTACCCTTCCCCCAGCTCTGCCGCGGCCTCTCCCAATTCTGGACCTCATTCCCACCTAACGGGGGGCCAGGAGGCCCTCGAAGGGGCTTCTTAAGGCCCTTGGGCGCCGAACTGTCCTGAGCCTGTAGGACCAAACCGGTGTGGGACTCATTCTGGCCCCCGGGAACGGAGCAGGAGAGGGGGGCTGGGCCAACCCGGCTCACGCGGCTCAGTTCTGTCCCAGCGCCTTGATCCGGCTGCCTAAGCACCGATTGGGTTCTCGTTCAGTTTCCTTTAACATTCTTCCGTTTTCATTAGATTTTGCTCCTTGACCCATAGCCCTGGGATCCCCATTCCCTCCTGAGACCTCCTGAGACCACCTGAGCATACCCATCCCCCTCCCCACCCCAGCCCCCCATTCATTCCAAGGTGGTAGAGAACTCTTTTTCCACTCTAGACCACGGTTTCCTTGTGGCAGTTGTGTCTTCCTCAGCTGTCTCTGTATCGTGTCAGGATTCTCGTGCTGAGCCATGCCCCTCGTTAGGTGCTCAATTAGGATACCCCTGGTGGTCTCCAGTAGAGAAGTAGAGGCTGAAAATACTGGGTTTAACCTGGGGATCTGAGAAATAAGATCCCGGAGGCTTGCTGCTCAACCATATTCTCCCTTGCTTCTGTCTGGTCAGGGGAAGGATGATGACACAGACTCTAAAGGGCCCCTTGTGGACCATGTGAACCGAGAAGATCAGCAAACTGTAGGAGTTCTGCGTTTTTTTCCCCTCTCTCCTCAGATTATTTGCATCTGATGCCAGAGAAGGCATGCTGAGGAAGAGAGGCAAGATCCTGGGGTTCAGGGTGTTTGGATTCTGACACTCTGACCATTGTTTTACAGGCTACTGGAAGATGAAAGAGACTATACAAGGGACCGGGTCTTGGGGGCCTGAGCCTCCTGGACCTGGCATAGCCCCAGCTTACTCAAGTCCCAGGCGGGAGCGTATTCGTTGGCCCCCACCCCCCAAACCCCGACTCAAATCAGGTGGAGGGTTTGGGCCAGATCCTGGGTCAGGGACTACAGCGCCAGCCAGACGCCTCCCTGTCCCTCGGCCCTCTTTTGATGCCTCAGCTAGTGAAGAGGAGGAAGAAGAGGAGGAAGAGGAGGATGAAGATGAGGAAGAGGAAGTGGGAGCTTGGAGGCTGCCCCCCAGGTGGGGTCAGCTGGGAGCCTCCCAGCGGCCTCGCCCTCCCCGCCCTACTCATCGAAAAACCTGCTCACAGCGCCGCCGCAGAGCCATGCGAGCCTTCCGGATGCTGCTCTACTCAAAAAGCACCTCGCTGACATTCCAGTGGAAGCGTTGGGGGCGCCACCGGGGCCGGCGGCGGAGCCTTGCACACCCCAAGAACCATCTTTCACCCCAGGAAGGGGGTGCAACACCACAGGTGCCATCCCCCTGCTGTCGTTTTGACTCCCCTCGGGGGCCACCTCCGCCCCGGCTGGGTCTGCTAGGTGCTCTCATGGCTGAGGATGGGGTGAGAGGGTCTCCACCAATGTCCTCTGGGCCCCCAGTGGAGGAAGATGGATTAAGGTGGACTCCAAAGTCTCCTCTGGACCCTGACTCCGGTAAGGTGGGAATGGGTGGAGGGAGAGGGTGGGGAGGATCAGGAGCCTCTTGAGGTGGTGACAGCTGGGCCTAAAGCTGGTAGGCTGGCAGAGTGAGGGGGTCCAGAATAGCTGTGAAGTGTCTTAAGCTCCACTTTGAGCAGGAACTAAGTCTGGGAAGACAGTCAATCAAGGCTGGGATACAGAGTCCCTAAGTAGGTGGTCTGTGTATAGATGAGAAAGGGAGGCTTGTTTTACAAAAGTCAAGACAGCCTTATACACTTAAAATCCCTCTTCATTTGTCCTCTTAGAATAAAGGGGCATGTACATCTGCAAAGGGTGCCATCTTCTAGTGGTGGGAAGGGATTTCTCTAGTAGTGGACTATATCACCAGTACGGCCGCGTGTGACAGGCTCACTCAGAATGTTTCTTTCGGGGACTCTCAACCAAACAGTTTCCGGCTACGTTTTTATGAGTCACTGGAGTATTTATCGAACGTTTGCGGGGTGCAATACTAGGAGCCAGGTGTATGGTGGTGATAAATATCTCTGAAATTCAGATCTCTCTGAATCTTAGTCTCGTCCTGCTTCTGGCCTGTCTACGAGTAGTACGTCGTCTTTTCTGTTCCTTTACAACCTCTCAGACGTGCTCATTTCATGCTTGAGGTTTCCATTCCTTAGAGTTTATATTGGTAGTGTGGGGGTCGTTTAATCTCATCCCACTGTTCTTTGATCTAAGCCCCATCCTGTTTCCCCTGTCCCACAGGCCTCCTCTCCTGTACTCTTCCCAATGGCTTTGGGGGACCCCCCGGGCCAGAAGGGGAGCGGGGCCTGGCACCCCCTGATGCCAGCATCCTCATCAGCAATGTGTGCAGCATTGGGGACCATGTGGCCCAGGAGCTGTTTCAGGGCTCCGATTTGGGCGCTGCGGAAGAGGCAGAGCGGCCTGGGGAGAAAGCTGGCCAGCACAGCCCCCTGCGGGAGGAGCATGTTACCTGCGTCCAGAGTAAGGGACTCTAGACGGCCCAGTCTCTTTCTCGTAGCCAACTCCTAAATTGAAGTCTGGAGGCCTCACCCCTTCTCCTCTTTCCCTCCGCTTAGGCATCTTGGATGAATTCCTTCAAACTTATGGCAGCCTCATCCCCCTCAGCACTGATGAGGTAGTAGAGAAACTGGAGGACATCTTTCAGCAGGAGTTCTCTACGCCTTCCAGGTAAGGCATGAAAGAGGTGCCCTGAGAAGAGGGCTGGGACCTGAGGGTAGGCGAGAATGCTCCTGCTTTTTCTCCCATAGGGACGTGTTGGGGAGGAGGAGGAAGGTAGGACTGAAGGGAGGAATCTGCAGGCAGAGTGCCAGGCCCCTGTAAGCTGACTGGGGTGGCGGTGGGGGTCTTTTCCTGAGACCCCAAAATACTGTGTATACCTGCTACTTGTGTGCCTCTTTCTGGAGACTGGGCCGTTAGCAGGTCCTCAAAAGGACACGTGACCCAAAAAAAGGATCAGCGTTTGTTTGTTGTTTGAAGTAGGCTCCATGCTCAGTGTGGAGCCCAGTGCGGGGCTTGAACTGGGGACCCTGAGATCAAGATCTGAGCTGAGATCAAGAATCAGATGCTCAACCAACTGGGCCACGCAGGTGCCCCCGAAAGGATCACTTTAGATTCTTACTCCGAGCAGTAGAAAGTACGCCTGTATGCCCCAGCCCCCTCAGCTCTTGTGGGACTCCACCCTTGGTCTCCTCAGGAAGGGCCTGGTGCTGCAGCTGATCCAGTCGTACCAGCGGATGCCGGGCAATGCCATGGTGAGGGGCTTCCGAGTGGCCTACAAGCGGCATGTGCTGACCATGGATGACCTGGGCACCTTATATGGACAGAACTGGCTCAATGACCAGGTGAGGAGCAATGGAGACACGGGCCCCAAAGGGGATGTAGGGAGCAGGGTGTCTGGGACCCTCCGGGGGAGCCCTGTACCCATGCTGCACCCTCCATGGCAAGTTGCCTCCCGTCTTCTCCCCAGGTGATGAACATGTATGGAGACCTGGTCATGGACACGGTCCCTGAAAAGGTAGGCCTCACTGGGTACCTCGGTCCCCAGAAGAATGTTTGCGGTTCTAAGCAGCATTTTCAGTCCCTTTTATCACTTTATCCATAAAGAGGA